AATGCCTTTGGTTACAAAAAAAACGCTAATAAATAAGTAGCCGACTAAGTAGACAACCATGAATAAAGAAAACAAAAAAGAAGGCACCATATGGTTTAAATTATATAGCTATACATTTTAATCATTTATACAAAACGAATGGTTTCAGGGAATGCTAAACAAAAAGGCCTACAAATATAGAGTTAAGTGCTGGCCAAAAGGGGTTGTCACGTCCATTAAACCAACGCCCAGGTGGCAAATATCCTGTGGGGACCTGTGCCTGGCCACTCCTTCGGCTGCAATCAAAGCCAAAAGTCAACGCCCAGGCTTTTGACCCCGACTTTGGACTGACAACTTAATTGTGGTTCACGGGCAAACACATTCTATTTTTCGCGGCAGAATTTCAACGCCCCCAAACCCGATGACAACGGCATTAATAATTCAATTTCGTGTCGGAAGCGGAAGTGGAAATGGAAGCGGTAGTGGAAATGGGAGCTGGTTTACCCCCACGTTGGTGTCTCAATATTTGGCAATTACTTGGCCCGAAAAGCGGTGCCAGGTGCATAACCTCCGCCACTTGGCTGAAAGCGATATCCCTGGCCTAATCCGTTTAACCTCCATGTCAACTGGGTCTGTGTCTATGGCTATGACCCGTCGGCAGACGCAATCTAAATTACCCCTGGCTTGGAATTGGGCTTGGGATTGGGCACCCCCAGGATGTGTCGTCACATCCTGTCACAGGACTAAAGTGTTGTTTTAATAAGCGTTTCGCAGCATCACCTTTGTGTGTTTGTGTGAGTGGGTGTAGAGCAAGACTGGGCTGATGGCCTTGTTTTCATTTTTGCTAATGGCCCACAAGTTGGCCATTGTAAAGCCGACTTAAGACTTACGGCTCTCCAACCTGGTGATGATGTCCTCTCAGACCCATTTTGCAAAAGGACATTAACCTTCACAACCTTTGGGGACTTCCCCGTAATGCATTCCGGCAAATGATCTTATTAGGCTTTGGCTACAAAAGGATGGATGGATGGTGTATTATCCGCTCTGAAATTGCAATTTCTGGGCACTTAAGGGAAAGCTATTGGGCACTTGTGTAGACTATAAAATTTGTAACCATAGAATATGAATATACACAAATTTGTCAATACAGAATGGCTTCATATCTAAATCGATTTTATTAGTGGCAAAAATATAAAAATACTATAAACCATTTTATCGAAAGGGATCTTATAGTAGCCATAAAACAAAAAAGCGAATTATTTATGAATCATTATTTGTTGTAAATCAAAAGACGAAAATAGATTTTCTGATATTAATCAAAACATCTGTGGAAAAAATATTAATAATATTTGTAGTTAATTTCCTGAAATAACGTGCTGTTAATGTGTTTCTAAAAGCCTTATATAAAACATAGTGCTAAGGGTGGGGATATATGCACCCCAAAGAACTCTATTCTAGAATCCAATCCTCGGGGGTGGATAAATGCGTTAAGCAATTTGTAAATGTAACTAACAGATACAAATCTGCCGAGAATGCGTGGCCGGAAAGGAAGAAAGCACATAATCAAAATTAAAATAAGAATCTCATCGCTCAGCCGCAGACGCAGAGCCACAGAAAGAGAGATACAATCCGGCAGATATGACTATGACACTGGGAACAAACGACCCCAACAAATTACACATTTTCCTCTGCTTTATTGTTGGCAATTTATTCGCAGCTAAATTGAAATACACACCATTTACCTGCAGACAACAACGCACAGCCGCTGACTCCCGGTGACATTGACAAACTGAAATGGAGGCCGCATTGGGATGGGGGTGGGGCAGTTGGGCTTAGATGGGCTGAATGGGGTTCAGTTGGGCTGACCCAGATCGTGACATCATCTCAGTCAGCTGGGGTCAAGCCCGAGGTAAGCCGTGGCGGTTTGACATGCTCTCAACCCCGAAATGAATTCCATTAAAAATATCAGATTCGATCATCTTGTTAATTAAACCAAAGGGAAATCAAAATCGAGTTTCAGGGTTTATTAGTTGGCTTAATAAATACACTAAAAACTAGTCAGTTTACAAAAAGGGAAAAGATATTTTTATTATTTTAAAGTTGAAAGCTTAAGAAATTTATTGTTTTTATATATATTTCAAATTATACTTTTGAATCCTGAATAAAAATAAATAAAATACAAAACTAATTAACAAAAAAGCAACTATGAGCAAACATACTTAACAGAACCTTTTTTACAATCACCAAACTTTTAAGAGGTTTTTGGTTGGTAAGGTGGCCACATATCCTTGTGCCCTATATATGTACTATATATGTATACCCCCACTAACTTCCAGTTCAGGGCTCGATTGGCGTGCCGAATGAATGGCCCCGGCCAACGGCAGAGTTTTTGATTTTAATTTAGATAAAGTGCGCTATGGAAATCAGTTTCGCTGTAACTTTCCCAGTTTATCCGGGGCTCCAATCTCGAGCCCCAGACAACTAAACACTCCATAAATACAACAACAGCGGGGGGCGTGGCAGATCGGGAGGCGAGCTTAAGGTAAGCTGTAAATTGCACGCTTTCATGTAGATAATTAATCACCGCAAGCATTCGGCAAGTTGTTCTATATTCAGGTAGTCCTGTTGTGCAAAATGAAACGCTTTTCGCTTGCCATTGAAGATTTCAGTTTGTGGCAAATGTAAATGCAGTTTCATGCAAATTTATTCCTGATCTAATCCGTATAATTTTAAGTTCACAATGGTGAACGGCATTGTGTTGTCCGAGATTTATTGGCGGCGCCATTTTCGGAGGCATTCGCGGAAGTCAAATCAATTATACGCCCTGTTGGGCACTCGATGCACGAAAGGAAATTGAAATTATTTGATATAAATTAATGCAATTAAGCATTTGGCCAAACACGACGAGGGATTAGGGCTTAAAATAAATACAACACAGCTTAAGTGCAGAATCTGATCAAAATTGCCATATATACTATGAGGGAAAATAAGAACAAAGCATATAATTTTATATATTTTTTTTCTTTTCAGTGAAAAAGTTTTTGTTCTTGTTAAAATTTTTACTAAATCAAAACAATATTCTGAGAATTTATATTCCTTTAAAGCTTGCCATTCTGTGAAAATTATTTTTTCATTTACCAATTTAGTATTTGTGAGAAAATCCACATTTTGTATTAAATCAAATGGAATTCCCGTTGATTTAAAATAAAATAAATGTATCTAGCCAAGAAAACACATTTATAAAGTGTACACTTTCAGTCTCAGGATATTGGTGAAAAACAATCAACCCTAACTACGAGGATAAAAGTACTCGAAATGCTTTAGTCAGAGCAGCTGGGACTTTGGACCTCCACGTGCATTTCTTAGAGCGTTTGCGATTGCAAATGGGCAAATATTTAAATGTAACTCAATTTCAAACGCAATATGCGCTTCGAAGCCAAGCGCTCGTCCTTCTCCCGTAGTACAGAATATTTTGATTTGATTTATTTATAAGTTCAATTTGTGCACATTATTTTTCCAATATTAAACTTTGATGCGGATGCAGTCGAGGCGACTGAAGTCCACCAGGGAATGCAAAATGAAAATCAATTGAATTTACCAGTTGGCAAGTGCAAAGCGAATGCCCAATGAAGATGGCTAATATTTGCGACTATGGTTGGATATACACAGCACTTACATTTGAGGAGAGTGAAACAAGAGACACACACACACGTCACAGAAAAAGTTGTGTCCTTTGCATTACCAACCCCAAGCTTTCCTTGTCGGGTTGGAAAACTTGCAGGGAAAAATGCAAGTAGAGGCACAATTGTCGGGCGAAAAATAAAAGAGCACGTTTTTTTTTTATGAGCCACTTCTTCAGTTGTGCTGCACATAATTACATGAAAAGAAAATTAGTGTCGAGATTCGCCTTGAGCGCCTCTCCAGGTGAAAACTTTTAATGAGCAATTTTCTCACAAATTCCCAAGTGTTGCCGCATTTAATTTTTTAATGAAAGAACTTCTTTTAAGCCGCAGCCACAGAGAGTGGAGATTTCCATTCCGAGCACTCTTCCCTTTGAGTTCTTCAATCAGTTTCGGCTTCATTTAGGACTCGCATATTTATTCATCCTTTGGCATGTTTTCGAAGTGCGTAATTGAGGGCCGGTGGGTGTGGGTATGGGATGGACTACCTCCATCTAGGTGTTTGTTTTTATTTATCGGCGGCACAGAGAGCGCCCTGACCCATGTTAATGGCCGATTGACACGCCACTTGGCCTTGATGGGGCTTTTAGCTCGCCTGGCACTTGACTGCTGCTCCCCGAAAAACAGAATGCTCCACACTCTACTCAGGATTGATGGTGGGGGAAAGTGCTGGGATAGGGGGTTTTCCCACACTCGATGGACGAGGTGCTAAGCGAGCGTGCTGATTGCTGCCAATTTTGATAAGGAGTCCGCATTAATATTTCCCTTGCGTTGGTGCCCACCGTTTTGTCCAGTCCACTGATACACTATATGTGTAGCTATGACTCATTAACACCGCAAAATTCACACCTAGCACTGAAGATAAGTCAGGAAATTACACACAACTATTCCGCACTTGAGTTTCTAATGTGAATGCTTAAAGTATATGTTAATTTTTTGTCATTAAAAAATATGAGAGTGTCGGCAGTATTTATAAAATATTTATTGATAACTCCAGAACTCTCAATAAAAATAGGTCATATTTATAAAAGTTTTAACATAAATACCTAAAACCTTTTATTTCCAAAAGTATCAGCAGTAACCATAAAACACTTTGATACATACATAATAGGAAAAATGCACATTTAGTTTAGTCCATAATGAATTATGACAATAACTTCAAACCCACTTATAACCTGTCTAAGAAAAGAAAAAAATACATAAATATTTTGAGTTTCAAACTTGAAACCTTTGTGCAAAACGTACTGATCTAGTCTTCCTCTCCTTGAAATTTAAATCATAAAAGGATTTTAACTTATTTTCGTAAAAGTACTAGTCTTCCTCTCCTTGAAATTTAAATCAGAAAGGAATTTTAACTTATTTTCGTAAAAGTACCAACAAAATTAGAACTGTTTTTAAAACAGATCTGGAAAAATCGAAGATAAAACCAAAAGGATGGCCGACTGCACTAACATGTTCAGGTGCCGCAAGGCAGTGTTAATCCTATCTGTGGATCCATATCCCTGCTAATGGGAAGCTGGTCAAATTTGCTGCCACGTAAACAGGCAAATAAAAGAGCCATTTGGTATACATATTTCCATATTCATAAATCTGCTGGCCAGCAAACTTCGTCTAGCCACGTCCAGAAATCGACATTTCCACATGCTCCAGGGAATTGTGGGTGGATGTGTGAAGCCAAGTTCGAGGGTTTTGCCTGTCGACTAAATCAAGTGTCTGTTCGGTGTCAGTTTAATTGCAAACGTAAATTGGATGCTGTCATTTGCTACGTTTTCATTTGTTCAAAACTTGCTAGATGCCCAGATGCCAGCCCTGCTGATGCTGAAACTGTGCAGCAGCAGAAGGAGCAGCAGCACCCCATTGACTTTTGCTGCCATTCTACCCGTTCTGACGGACATTGCTGCCAGCTGCTGCTCGAGAATCTCTCCTCCACCCGAATCTGCCCCCAGAATGCAAACGTTGCACAAATCCCAGCTTTGTTAATTGGACTCATTTTGGTAGCAGGCAGATTGTGTATTTTAAATTGGCATTTCTGACAGGCCATGGCTACAGCATTTCTATTTCTATTCGTGTTTCGACTTCCCCCTCCTCCTCCTCCTCGAGTTTCTCCTGGGTCAGCTGCTCCTTCTTATGGGTAAGTGTGTCCCAGTCGTATATCTTGTCGTTGGTGATCTTCAGACTGTGGAGTAGATCCAAAAAGGATCGCCTGATGGCCTGGTAGTTGGGCTGCTCCTCGAAGCCCAAGGCACGGCTGTATTCAATGAAGTGGAAGAGCTCCTCCGGATAACCAAGGCACAGGTCGTCCAGCCGCGTGGACATCTTCATCTCGGCAATCATCTCGTGCTTCTGCATCTTGGAGTTGGCTTTGAGACCCTGCCAGGGCAGGCTGCCCCTTAGAAAGTACATGATGACATAGCCCAGCGACTCCAGGTCGTCCCGCCTGGATTGTTCTCCTCCAGTCAGGGCATTTATGGAGGCGTAGCGCGCAGTGCCAGTCAAGCGGCTGCCCATCATGTGCCGTACATGCTTGTTCTCCACCACATTCCAGTATCGCTTGGCCAGACCCAGATCTATTAGGTATACACGATTCCTGGTGTCGCCTCTGCCCATCAGGAAGTTGTCGGGCTTGATGTCGCGATGAAGAAACTTATGGGAGTGGAGGAACTCCACCCGTTCAATCATCTGCTCCGCCAGCATGAGCACCGTTTTCAGGGAGAATCTCCGTTCGCAAACGTTGAAGAGATCCTCCAGCGAGGGACCCAGTAGCTCCATTACCAGCACATTGTACGTCCTGGCCGCTTGGAAATGGTAGACCCTTGGAATGCCAGTGCCATGGCGCAGTATGTTATACAGCTGATACTCGAAGCACAACTGCCTGCTGCTCGCATTACTTTGCTCGATCTTCAAGGCCACCAGGAGCCCCGTCTGGCGATGCCTGGCCTGGTAGATGTCCCCAAAGGAGCCGGAGCCCATCTTCTGGTTCACCACGTAGTCCCGGATGCTGAACGAGAGGCCCAGATCCACGTCCATCGGCTGCTCATCGCTCATTCTGCTTGGAAAACTAAAAACAAACCACTTTTAATTCTTGGAAATTTAACTTTTCTACCGCACCACAGCGTTGTAGTGGCTTATGTTATCGATAAATTTATTTACGATTGGGGCCTGTCACACTGTCTAGCTTTTTGTGGCTGTTCGATTACCATAAATTAATAAATAAATAAAAACGAATAATTAGAGAATAGCAATTATACAAATGATTTTAAGTATAAATGCTGTCAAAAATGTTTGTTAAACAAAAAAAAATACATAAAGTTGCTATCACACAGAAATTGAATTCTTTTACAAGGCCTTTAAAGCTTTTCAACTTTTTTTTATCATGTTCACACGGTTCACATCTTTTGAAGTTTCAAATTTAAATTGTAGGTATCAAGCTTACCTTTGCTTTTGTGGACATATTCAAAATATTTAACCTATAGAAGAAAGAAAATATCAAAATGTCGGCAGCAAAAAACGATCTAAACAATTCAACAATTTCCCAGGAGTTTATATTAATGCGTCCCGAATACGATTTAAGAGTTAACCAACTGGAACGAGATGTTTACGAGTGCGTCAGAATTTTAAATAATATTAAAAGTACTAAGGATCAGAAAGCATCTAAAAAACAATCGGAAGCCGCGAAGTTCTTAGCCTGGGAGTTCAATTTGAAAGATTTTCCAGTGGAGAACATTGCCATCCGGCTTAAAGATGGCCACGTTTATCTTCAAGCCTATAAAAACGATATGGATATCAAAATAGAAATTTTTATGCCAGAGAATGTGGATAAATCGAAAATATCAGCCATATTGACCACGCGTGGTATTCTTACCATATCGGTTCCAATCGTTTTATCTCTTTCGGATGAACAAAAGCTTATGTCTTAATTTTTTTTATTTTATTGTATTTTTTTTTATTGAGCTTTTGCGATTTATTATTTGTTTTAAATGAAAAAACAAGATTTTAATAATTATTATTGAACTGTTCCTATAGCTTACTGTCAATGTGCTGAGGACTAGCTCTAAGACACAGTCCCTTGGAAACAAGGTCCCTAACTAATAATCAATTTAATAAATAAGTCTGTGGCTTAGAGAAAGGTGCCCAGCAGACTACAGATTTTGGCCGGTGAAATAGATTTGGATTGAAATTCGGACTGGGTTGGCTTATAGTACTTTCGGGAACATAGGGAAATATCTTTATGTGCGGAGTAGGTCGAAGAAAAGGCCTTTGAGACTGAATTCGCTCTTCGGTTCTGAAGCTCTCCATTAGCTCCCGTTTCAGTTCCTCCACAAAACTCCTTCGGCAGGAGGATTCCTCATCCCAATCGATTATAAATTTTGGGCAGCAAAGATTCCCTCGGATACCAGACTGCTTGGGCGCCAGATCCTCAGTACTCTGGGTACTACACTTTGGATTAGGATCGGGATTGGAGGTAAGTTGTATTTTCTGTAGACTTCGGCTTTTATTTCTGGTATTATTACTTTGCGAAGAACCACTTGAGCTTTTACTTATCTTTGATTTCGAACTTTTGGGTGACATTTTTAGAGCAAATTCCGGTAGACTGCTAATTTTCCTCGGAGGAACTTCAATTTTTCTGTCATTGTTAATTGGAAAATTGTGACTCTGAGATTTTTGGCATTCACTTTTACGGCCTGTATCCTGATTTTCCTTTGAGTAAAGCGATGATCCGCTTATTAAACTTCTGGAACTATTTGTTTTTAAGATAACCCTTTTGGGAAAAGTCGTTTCGTTTAAACTTGAACTCTTGTTTATATCGCTTTGGAATAAGGTCGGTGGTCTGGAAAACATTTCAATTTTATTTGGATGGCATAATCCAGGTCCATAAGATCGGAAACTATTGTATTCTATTCTATTGGGTTCCTTTTGTGTTAAGCTCCATTTGATGCTGTTAAGATGGCGGGGGCAAAAGTTTTGCGGAGGTCTACTTATGTTTAAATCTGGTGGCTTTGAAATGGCTTCAATGCTTTCTCTATTAAAGATATAATTTTCAGATGTCCCAGTTCTTTGATTTCTAGAAGAAATACTTTCCGAACTGTTCGATGTGGAGAAAAAAGTATTTTCAGGATTTCTGACATTCTTAAACGTATTTTCATGACCTCCACGCAATGTGCTATCGCTAGATCGTGTCGATAAAGAAAGATTGGGTGATATACCTATTTCATCCTCCAAATTTGAGTCTGTTTTTTCTATAAGATCATTACTTTTGCTGGATAAACCATGACCTCTTATAACTTTGGATGATACAATCCTAGGGCTGCCAGTTAAACTAAAATCTGTTGCTTGAATCGTAAGGCAGACATTTATTTGACTTGGTTTGATTGGATTGCCATCACTTTTACGAGGACTGCAATTTCCACTGGACTCCCGATTTGATACTTTACAGGAATTCCCATTCCCATGGTACAGATCACCAATGGGTCTGAAATATTGACTTGTTCGTTTACTTAATCCACGATCATAGTCATTGTTATTTACCTTCGAGCGGTGGTTGGTCGAGCTCAATACGTTGTACATGGAGTATTTATGGTAAATCTCATTATCATTTTCGGGCAGCTGGTTGCTTTTTCCCCTGAAAACTGTGGGATAATGGCATCCATTTCCCATCCTGGATAAATCTTTTTGGAATACATTTTCGTTCGAAGGAACGTTTTTATTTTCCGCCTCCAAAGATTGCTTACTTGTCTTCGGTGAGTTTAAAGCAGAGTCGGGCTTTTCTTTGTGATAACAAGAATTGTTGTTAAAACTCTTCGATCTTTTCAAGCAAGTTTTAGACTTTTTAAGAATTTTCGACATTTTTTGCCTCAGCGTCTTGCATTTCCTATTATGTTCAACATCATAATAAGATGGTTCTGGTGTAAGTAACTTATGCGTTGTACAATCGCCATCTAAATGACATGTTTGCTCTTTTGTTTTGAGATTTGAGTTTAAGTCACTAGCTAAAGTTTCAAAGCCCGAATACGATCTTTTTGGTATATAATCACTTTTTGGCCTGTGCTCCTTTTTCTTGTAGGGTATTTCAATAGTGAAAAAAATTGACGATTGTGTTTTGGCGCTTTTACGAATTCTATGTGGAATCTCAGAGCCCACATTTAAATCCTTAAACTGAACAAAGTCTACAGACTTCTTACGATCAGCTAAACATTTACGATAACTCCGATTTTTGTGACGATCAGATTTATCCAAATATTTAGGAGGTTCAGTTTTTAAGCTCATCTGCGGACTGAGGACTTCATTTTGGATGTTAATAAGGTTTTTTCTAAGAGGAATTTCTTCTGTAAAATGAATGTATCTTTTTCCAGAGGCTATTTGAGAAGTATTTTGTTTATAAAATCTTTCGCCTGGCTCATTAAAATGCAGCTCATAATTTTTGGGCGGAGCAAGACCTAAATTAACTTTGGATATTCTATCGTCTTCAATAGCAGCTTCTTTAGTCTCCGCATGGTGATTATAACTTTTTCTAGGTGGAATTTTCTCTGGTTGGTAATTTATTTCACATCTTTTATATTTCATTTTTGAAGGATAGTTTGAAAAATCGGTTAAATCCTTGTAGGAGGATTGATTTACAAATCTTTCGTACTTAGCTTGTGGTTTTGGAAAAGGTTTCCTTTGTTCGTAATACTCTGGGTAATCGTAATGATTTGATTGCGCATATTGGTTTTGGTAGTTTTTAGTTGGTTGCTCTTCGTAATTTTCTTCATAAATATGCACTGGCCCACGGGGTACGGGATATATATTCCTATTTTTATATTCTTTGTAGTCTTGAGTATTATAATTTAAAGCATATTCGGGTGGCAAAGATCCTGAAGTTTGTCTGTGCATTCTTATTGGTCTATACTCGTAACTTCTTGATTGTGGATCTCTATAATCTCTTTTATAAATATGATAAGATTCTTTGGGATGACGATGATATCTTTCATAAGGTTCTGGTATGTGAGATTTTCGATGTCTTGTAGTATAGGGACTTTCATATTTGAAATACGTATTTGGCTTATGGTAATGTCTAGGAGCTTCCTCTTCTTCAGAACATTCAGAGGCTAAGTCGATCCTACGGCAGGGTTCAAATTCCGCTTCCTCGTAGTATTCATCAGGATATTCATTTTCATATACCCTTTCACTTTCGTAGTCTGGAGAGAAATGAAAATCCGCGTAATTCCTTGAGCGGTATGGGGAAACTGATTCTATTTCACCAATACCCCTTCTAGCCTTAAAAGTTCTATAATGAAAGTGCCTAAGATTGTCGAAATAGGCAGAATTAACTCTTCTGCGTCGCTTATAAAGCCCGTGATCGAAATCATCATGAGTATGAGCATAGAAATTATTTGGTGACCCAAATGACATCGCACTTTCCGTAATTGGAATATCCAACCCTCCGCCGGGATTTCGTCCTGCTTTAGTATTTGTACATTCGAGTTAGTAGACGCTTGGGAAATGTCGTTAATCAACTCACGCTTTTCATTGCAGTCCAAGGTCCTTGGCGTCGTAATCTCGTTTTGGCGGTCACAGCACACTCGCCCTGAAATATCGACATTGAAAAATACTAATGTCCGATTCCATTCGTCCTCATTCTTGGTGCTCTCAAATCGGATTAAGCTCCGGTCCGTCATCGTAAATGTCATTTTCACCAGCCCCGGAACTCATGCTCCCCCAAACGTCTGGAATTCAACTGCAAATTTAATTCATATCGATTGTTTGTTTATGTCAGTTTATTATGTTTTTATTTTTTCATTTGATACTCTTTTCAAATATGTAGGCTTAAATTGATTATCAATTCGTTTTCATAAAATAGTTGAGTTGGCCAGAAGGGAAATTCGACTTTTCAATTTTTGAGTTCTGTTACTATTTTAAAACAAATTCATGGTATTGCCAAAGGGTTCTATTAAATTTTAATAAATAATACATATATTTTGTTCTATAGAATCTACACTGAATAAAAAAATGCAGTTGTAAATATAAATATCTGACTATTGAATTTAAAAAATATGTTAAATCAAATCATAAAATACTATTCATATTAAATTGCTTTATTTATTATTAAAATATTTTAATAAATGTGAAATATATTAGATTTTAAATAGTTCCCATTTGACTTAAATGCACCTTGTTTAAGTTGAATATGATTCAATTCCGAAAATAGTCAAATGAAACATTTTAAGATAACTAAAATCTGCAAAAGATGAAAATCATAGAGACAAATATTTAATTGATTACAAAATACTTGAACTTACTTCATTTTATACCAGTGTAGCTTTTTGTTACGTAGGGCGATGTTCTACAATATATGTAATTGTGTGATAGCCAAAATGAGACCTTCAGCCTAGATTCCTTCAAGTACCTGAAATCAAGTTAAGTCCCGCGACCAGCGATCCATTTTATAATCCCAAAAAACGGCATTAACTTTTGCTTGCTTCACAGTTTGCAGCTCGCTCATTTAATTGCAGGATAAATGCCTGAAATGGCAAACACAAAGGATGTGCGAACGGCAATGAGAATCTGAATGAGGATGAGGATGGAATGGTCGTCATTACTTGAAGTGTGCTAGAAAATATGTTTTTAATTGCGGAAATATTTCCATTTCACAAATAGATGCGATAATTATTCAGAATGGCGCGAATTTCCATCACATTAAAAATGCAGACAATGGGGGTATAGTAAAATGCAGCTAGCGGATAATGAAAATCGTGTTCAAGTGCGGAAATGCTGAAAATTATTTCAATGAAACACAACTAAGTGCTTTTTAAGTGCCCCCAATGGTGGCACAAGCCAAACGGAAATGGACGCAGACGAGATTGGTTGGGTGGCTTGTTTTTGGTCGATGGCGCGGCGAAGTGGGAAGGACTTTGGTGACAGGACACGCAGGATACTTACGACCCCCGAACATTTTAAATGCAATGAGAATGCGACAGATGCGTGATGTTATATGGTACGAAGAGTACATTGGTAATTCAAGAATACTTGTTTTTAAGTAAGTTGTTATAATTTCAATAATTGATGGATTTTCTGTAATTGTAAAGGTGGTGAAATTGTATTTTATCATTTGTAATTATTGGTATTTTCGATTAGTTAAACTTTCGATTAGTAAAAACTCCTTAAAAACTCCATTAAAATCGGTTATTAAGAGTTAAATTATAAAGAAGGCCTGGGGATCGGGTACTCAAGTAAACTAAATATTTAATAGAAAATCTCACATCTAACATATTTAAGATATATTTAAAATGGAAACGATTTTGGGCATTAAGGGTTCGGATTTCGTCATGCTGGCCTCGGATACCATGAAAGTGAAGTCGGTGATGTTACTGGATGATAGTGAGTGGCTACTAAGTTATTTAAAGAGTTATCTTAAGGGGAATTTATGTATAGACAACTCAAAGATCTACCGCCTGACGGACTACTCTATGCTGGCGGCTGTAGGACACGGTGGCGATTCGCTGCAGTTCTCGGACTTTATTCACCGTAATCTGGAGCTCTACAAAGTGGCCAATGGCTATGATCTCACCATTCGCGGAGCGGTTCACTTTACTCGGACCAATTTGTCCGCCTATCACAGGAGTAAAGTGAGTTACGAAGTGGCACTTTTAGTTGCCGGATATGATCCGTCTGGTGGTCCGGAGTTGCACTACATCGATCAGTATGGTTCCTCGGTTCCCATAAACTTTGGTGGCCACGGATCGGGCATTAAGTTTTGCACACCCATTTTGGAGGAGTTATACAAGCCTCAGTTGGACCGGAGGGCCGTCTACAATATCATCGAAAAATGTGTGTCTGAAATCCATAAAAGACTCGTGATCAATTTGCGCAACTTCGATGTCTTCATGATTAGCCGAGAGGGCATTACAAAGCTGGATCATATCAACCAGCAGTCCTTGAAAGCCGAAATTATGGGCAATCCTTCACCACGAAGATAAAGCATGAAGTTGTTAATCAGTAACTTTGTTATATTTTTTATTTTTCTAATATTTAAATTAAACCACCATATGTAATTTGAAATGAATGAAGTGTTCATATTTGATTCAAAGGGGCAACTATGGGCAATCCTTCAACAATAAAATAAACATAAACTACCAAATATTACCTCAAGTTAATAAAGCCATTTTCCTACGTTTCTTATTAACCCAATTAAAATTTTAGCCATTTAAGTGGTAGTGTATTACAAAGAACGACATAATTTTAAGAGTTATCAGCAGCTGCATATAATAGAATAATTATAAAAAGTGTTTAACGAATTCACCCCAAAAAAGGTGTCCTTTTTCCCAAGTTTTGGCTATGGCTCGGTACTGTCGATAAAAAATCGGCCTTGCAAAGCACGATAATGATTTAATTTGCCAGTTAATAACCCCTGGCAAATTGTCCAAATGGCACAGAAAGGTGCTATAAAATGGGTTACCACCTGACAGGGGTAAATCAGTGAAGGAAAATCGGGAAGACGAAATGGAACTCAGCGGAACCCCAAGAATCGACTACTTTCGTAAACAGGTGTTGGCTTGGAGAATCGCTGGCGCCTTTGATCTCAGCGAGGGAAAATACTGGAGTTGGGCCATGGTGTTAAACATGTTTGTATTTTTTCCAACGACTTTGCTGATGATGTCGCTGTTCAGCAATGAAAATCCGATGGATAACAACATAAACTTCAGTCTGACGGTCACATCGCTGGCCACGTTCTTAAAGTTCTCGATCTACGTGACCCAACTGACGAAATTGGTTGAGATTCAGGAATTAATTGCGCAACTGGATGCTCGACTTTCTGGGGAGGATCAGTTAGTCCGCCATCAAAAGATGACCCGTAAACTGCAATGGATGTCCAAGCTGTTCATGGTTATCTATTTATTTGTTATAATGAACATAGGGATTTCGTTTGTTTTCAAGAAGGAGAGAAGTTTGCCATTACCCATGCGACTTCCCTTCGACTGGAAAAAATCGATGACTGCCTACATTTGGTCGTTGTTACTCGAGGAAATTGGTATTTTCTTTCAAGTCCTGGTGAATTATGCTGGGGACTCGTTTCCACCTTCAGCATTGTGTCTGGTTTCCGAACAATGCCAGTTACTGATTCTGCGTATCTCAAACATTGGATATGGTTCGAAGAGTCTTAAGGAAAATGAGGAGGATTTGCTTAACTGCATCAAGGATCAGAACACACTCTATCGGTATATACTTTATATTTATCTTTATTTTTTAATTACTATTTATATCCCTAATAGCTTATTGGAGGTGATCCACTCCTTTATTTCCTATCCCATGCTGGTGCAGTTCTTCGTGACTGGGATTAATATTGCAGTGGCCAGTTTTGGCTTAGTTTTCTATGTGCAAACTTTGGCGGAACGCGTTTACTACGTGTGTTTTCTATTGGTCTTCACCGTGGAGACCTATCCACTGTGCTATTATGGCACCATGGTGAAGGAGAGCTTCGCAGAGCTCCACTATGCGGTTTTCTGTAGCAACTGGGTGGATCAGAGTGCCGTCTACCGAGGAAACATGCTGATCCTGGGGGAGCGGACCAAGAGGCAGCAGCTCCTTCTTGCCGGCGATCTAGTTCCAATCCACCTAAGCACCTTTGTGGCCTGCTGGAAGGGAGCCTACTCCTTTTTCACCCTGATGACCGACAGAGATAGTCAGGGTTCCTAAAACTTAAACAGTAGCTGGGTTATTTTACTCAAATTTCAATAAATCAAGTAGTAGCACACAGTACATAAGTAGCCACAATAAACACACGCACATACACACGGTGGAAATATCACTTAAATAAAATTTATTGTAACCATGGCAATGGAAACTATTCTGGGGATCAAGGGACCCGACTTTGTGATGCTCGCATCGGATACGATGCAGGCCAAGTCCCTAATTTTTATGAAGGATGGTAACTATATGGGATTTGGATTAAAGATAGCGATTAATAAAGCTTAAAATGCACGCCTTGTTTCAAGAAAAAATGTTAAGACACTAACACACAAAATAAACATGGTTTTAGCTGAGCTTCAAACTTAATTATTTATTTTATTTAATTATCAGTCAAAAGAATTTGATTTATATTGACATAAACTCACTTAACATTTAGATCAGTCAAAAATTCACCGCCTCTCGAACTTCAACATAATGGCCACAGTGGGCGATGGCGGCGATACGCTGCAGTTCACGGACTATATATCGAAGAACCTGCACCTGTACAAGGTTGCCAACGGTTATCACCTGAGTGCCAAGGCAGCGGCCCATTTCACCCGGAAAACACTGGCGGATTACATAAGGACGAACACACGGTACCAGGTGGCAATGCTGCTGGCAGGATTCGATGCCGTCGAGGGTCCTGACCTCCACTACATCGACTCCTATGGCGCCGCTCAGCCCATCAATCATGCGGGCCACGGATGGGGCAGCATGTTCTGCGGCAGCATCCTGCAGAGATTCTGGCACTCGCAGCTCATCCAAGCGGAGGCCTACTCCTTGATGAGGAAGTGCGTCCTGGAGATCCAGAGGCGTCTGATCATCAACCAGCGGAACTTTGAGGTATACGTGGTGGACAGCAACGGAATGCGCAAGATGGAGGCCATCAATCCGGGATCACTCAGCAAGGAGGCGATTAGCCTGTGCTGGTAGAGCTGGAAACATTTAAATCCCATCCTAATGCCTAATAATTGTGCAGTTGCTTTTTCGGCAAACTTTCACTGCGTTGCTCGAACAATTTCCCAGGGATTAGTTGACGTGACCGGCTTGGATTTGAGTGGGTGGGAGCGATGTTAGTAGGGCTACTACACATGCCATGGTCGACTGCCTCCGTGTATTAGCATATGTGGCCTGCTCTTGTTCGCCCAGTGAGCCATCTGCCTGAATGTGGGTGGCTCTGTATTTGTTTGCGCAACAATGACAAAAGCTCCACTCGAAAAAAATTATAGTTGGGATTATTAAAAATATTCTTTGGAATGAAAAAAAACATTTCTGATTATCAATATAGAACTTAAAAATAATAAGTAATCATTCATATGTTTCAAAATGGTTAAAAAAATAAAATACCTTGTCATGAAGTTTTAATTTTAAATGTTTAAATATCATGTCCAAGAATGGTTAAAAGTGACAAACGCTGTAGTAGAATTTTTAAAAGTGAACAGAATAAATTTACAAAATTTACATTTAAGAAATATATATTTTTTGTTTTATTTAAAGCCCACAACGATTTTTAAATTGGTGTTTAAGATATGATAATTCTTGAAACTAGAAATACAATAAACACGAAAATACTCCTGATTTATAATTTATTTCCAGTGCATCCTTCACATATATATGAAACGTCAACTGCTGCGAATCGGAAGCAGAAAAGCCAACATGTCTCTATTTCCCATTTGAACAGCAGTCCGTCAGGCTGTCGTTTGGTTTGCTTTGGTTTGGCGAAGTGAAGGGAAGGGAGTCGTCAACAGAACTCATAAAAATGAGCACAGATTGCTGCAAAAATGCACTGCATTGTTCGTTGCTTAGTTGAGGTCTGAGTCAATGGTTTTTTAGAGCTGCGTTGCCAGCGTTTTTCCCGGATTTCTATGCCATCCAGCCGGTTCTGTTTGTCTGCCAGACGTGGCAGTTGCCATTGCTAATTGGCCGCACATGACAAAGTATCGTCAATTGAGTGGCTCGCCCACTTGCGGTGATCGGAACCGTGAAATGTCAATAATTACAAAGGAAAATTCGGCTGTCGTGGATACATGATGCTCCGGAAACAGTCAGGCTTTAAAAACCGTCTTTGAACTCTGCAATTAGCCCTTGAACCTTTAAAGAGACGCCTCTTGAAAATCAACGAGAAGGTCGGGCAAAATTTTACTATTAATGAAAATGATAATTTATATGCACCGTAATTAAAATTCTCTTCATAAATTTGTGAATTCATATGATAAGACAATTTAAATTTTAAAAATCCACAGCACTAAAAAATTTTGCTATTAGAAATTAGTTATCAATTTATGCAATAGTAAAAAATAAGCATAAAAATGATCAATCTCATAACGATGATAGAAATGTAATTGATTTATATAAAAACCAATAAAATTGTACAGGCAGTGAAAAACCAACATATTTTCGTTTTTTTCTTTTATTTAAAAGTTTTCCTGTCGCACTGAGAACTTTTGTGGGGAAAACTTTTGACATGTGAGCGTCTCAAATGAACGCGCCTGTCTCAGGACACCTGTCTCTCTCCCCTTTTTTTTTCCTCCTCCACCTGAAGCTGTGAAATATATTCACATCCTTGTAGGGGGAAATACTTTGGTGGGTGGAGGGGGTTGGAGGCCAGGAAGATAATGTGCTTGTAACCCCCGTGTCACTCCCCCATTTGCCACCCCACTCCCCCTCCCCCAAAAACATTCCATGCCGCAATTTGTGACGTTTAAGGGCGCAACGAGGCAGCGACTTCCTGACAGGACATTAACTTCCTCACATCTTCTGAGTCGCTCCTTCCGACTGTCTCACTGTTTGCTGCTCTCTGTTTTCTCTGTTTTCTGTTTGCGTGTGACGACTCTGATGATGATTCATGATGATGATCCTTGCAGTTTTCCACGCTGTCATTTTTCATGGTCTTGGGGGGCGGCGGCTTGGGGGCGTGGCCTGGTTTAGTTGCCGTTTTTCGACAGCCTATTAGTTTTTATTATTTGCTGCAATTAGTTTTTCGGCCTCGACTGCTCGTCTTCTCAGGCTCTACTCGCTTATGACACTTTTATGCACATTTTTCAACGGAATGAGCCTCATCTGTTGCCGCCGGCTATGTGTTCTAGAATACACCTGGAAAAAATAATGAAAAGAATAATATTTGTTAATTTATTTTTTAATAATGGTTTTAAATATTTTTTTTGACATTTTAGCCCATTACAATGTAGCTTGGCCAATGAATACAGAATTTATCAACCAAATACTCACATACTACCTACTTTAATTTCTATAAACTTTATTTTGTAGATTTCACGCTGTTAAAGTTGCACTCTTAATAATTTTCTTGGAAATTTTTCCCAAGTGTACTTGCTGAATCTGCTGTTTTTCTCGCCGGCATTGACAAGAGCCAAACAATGGCCGCTGGCTGGCTGGCTGGTATCTATGATAAATTATGGCCAAAAGTCAAAGTCATCAATCAGTGGGCCATGTTTTATTTGCCGCCCGTGGCCATTTGCCATTTGTTTGGGGCCAGAACCAGTGGCATATGCAGCTGCAAAGGGGGGAGGGTCAGGGGTCGAGTCGCTCCAGAGTGGCCAAAAAAGGATTAAATATAAATCGCAGATGCGTAGACGACGGACCACCAGGTGTCGGTGGCCGGGCGACAAGCATTTCGATTTAATTTTCATTAAAATTCAGGCATTAAATATGCAAAGGGTAAACTGCGGCAACGTACAACGTTCGTTCGGCCCCAGCCAAAAGCCCATTAAAATTCCTTAAAGACGGGCTCGCCAGGTGACTCCTTTTCATTCTCGAGTGCTTATTAAAATTGCAAAGGTCCAGGATTTGCGGACATTATGATGCGGTGGCTGCGAATTTATGCCGGAATGGTCGAGGCCAACATCAGCTGCGTTCTCGTTCCTCGACTGTTTAATTATGCATTTTTATCTGAAAGTCGTTCTGAGGCCAAGTCGTTTTTCGTTACGAAAAAAGGTAAACCTCTGCCACTTTGCCACTTGAGATATGAAATGACTGCAAATCCACGGGGTAAGCCAAGAATATCCGTGGTGGAGCGTGAATAAGCCGGTGGCTTCTCGTTGAGTGACAGATATCCGCCAACGTGGCGGATACGCAACGTTGTGATTGAAAGCAAAGCATCCACGTGTTGGTGTATCGATTTGGCCGCTTGAGCTTGGGTATTGATGGCGTCGCCACCAGGAGCATCGTGTATCCCGCCAATTGACAACTAAAGTTGCAATTAGGAGCTCTGACAATCCCTATTTCACCCTTCTCCAGAGCTCCATTTTCAACCACCGCCGCCACAGGATTACCGAATAAAAAAGGAAACTTTTTACGAGAAACACCTACATGCACGCACTGGGATCGGATGGAGGTTTTAGTTATGCTGGGGAAATGCCTTGGGGAAATTAGTGAAAAAAGGCAAATGTTTTACGGAAACCTCTGTTTTAAGGCTCTCAGTTTATGACACCCAGTTACATCATTTAAAAAAAACCCTAAAAATAAGTTTGCAAATGGGGTTTTTTTACCACTTTTGTTTTTCTACTTCTTAATATTTACTTTTCGGCTCTTAAGGAAGTTTATTTAAATTACCCACTCTTCAAGTTCGCATATACTGATTTTTGTCTGTGAATGTCCAAAAAAGTAGCTATTGCCATGGGATTAGACAACTGCCCGAAATTGCAACTAGCATTACAGTTGAATCACCGATAAACGGCCTATAAATCACCCACTTGGCCAGCGATCGCGTCAATATTCGCCTCTTATGCAACCAATTTTATTTCGTTGCACTCGACGGACATAAATCACGACTTCTGATGGGTGAAAACGGCGGGAAATTGGGTGAGGATGCTGTTTCTGCAACAAAATGTTGCAGGCATTAAACACCAGCGATGGCGTAATTTATGGGTGTGTCAGGATTCCAGGCTCGCGATGCCCGGAGACAGATGTGACATCAGCAGTGACCATCGTGACATTAATGCGGCTCTCCG